AGCCTCCCCCCCCCCCAGCTCATTAGTGCCTCTTGACCTGACTGCAAAGACTTCTGGGTTAGGTCTAGAATCCCTGCCTGAGCACCTAGTCTTAAACTCAAGGGCTTATACTACCTGTGTTCCCAGGCTTCCTACCTCTTCCTATTCTGCTGGACAACCTGTCTCCTGACCCAGGTCCACCCTGGAACAGGCTTGTTCTATCTGGACTAACTTGCGATTGCATTTGATTACTCCTGATGCTGGCTGCAGGCCACCCAGATTGGACTGCTTACCCGTTTCCAGATTTTGCCTCCCTCCTGCTTCTCTCTTGGTGCTCCTCCAACACTGCTCCAACCTCTCCCTAGCTCTTCCGCAATGACTTGTGCTTCAGTTCCCAAACCCTCGGCTGCCTGCCTACTGCCCAACACTCCCAATCCAGAAGGGCGTCGTCATGCCTTGGGTGCTCTCAGCTGTTGGAAGCCGGCTCTTCCGCAAAGCGATGACCTCTTGCCACTCGTCTCTGAAGGGAGCTGTCCCTTACTCTGTCCTGCTCTCATGGCAACCACAAGCACACTGTTCACTCTAGTTGCGAAGGGGGGAATGCAGGCTTAGTAAATGTTGTCGAGAATGATGAGTCTGTGCTGCAGGAAAGATCCATGCCGGTTTCTTTGCACGCACCCTGCTGCAGTCAGAGGAACAGAATACGCATTCAGATTTGGTCCCCTGAGTCTGCTTTTGTATGAAGCTGCACAGATGGAGCCTGGGCATGGGGAAAGGTGTGGCAAAGAGCATGCGAGTTCTGCAAAAGATTCCCCGGCCAGTATTCAATTGTACAACTTTGGAGCACAGTGTAATTTCCCTCGGACACAGCACAAAAGGGCTGGTTAGTTATATGACAGGGCAAGTCCTCCAGGAAGGAAAGCAACCTTTTACCTGGGATGAATTTCATTTACATTTTCCCGTGAAATTAACAAACACAGTCTTAAGAAAACAATCTGAGCAGTGCAAAAATCTACAGCTTTTTCTTTGCATTGGGTCCTGGGAACAGGTATGTGAAACGGCCTGAAAATATTAAGGCTTTTCTTTTTGGCTGCTTCTGTACCTCGCCTTTCAAGAAACTCTGGGAGACATCCATGGGATCATCCTATGTTAGACTGTCAAGAAGACCATGGGGTAGATTACCTTGCAACTCACTGTCTCATGGAGTTGCCAACAGTGCTAATCTAACCAGAGTGGCACCCTCCCAAGACCATAAAAGTCAAAAGGCTTAGACTAAGGGAGGGCAGGAAGGGTTGCATCAGTGCTTAGTTCTTGTGGCCCTTTGGTACATGCCCAGGGAAATGCTGATCACCACTTTGGGGTCAAGAAGCCATTTTTCTCCAGGCCAGTTTGGCCAGGGATCCTGGAGTGGGTTTTTTTGTCTTCTTCTGGGCATGGAACAGGGGTTACTAGGAGTGCGGGGTGTATTTGGACTAGATGACCTTGGAGGTCCCTTCCTACTCTATGATTCTAGTGGATAAACAACTAGAAAATGCATATGGAACTTTGTTTTTGCATACGATTATTGTATGTAAGACTGTTATATACAACAAGACTGTTGTATGTTCAAAAATGGAAAACCTCGTCATTACCTCCAATAGAGGAATGGCTAGTCAAGTGATGGCCAAAATTGCATCTTTGATAAAAGAAAAGATTTTACTTAAATTTATATCTACATGGAAACCCTTTATGGACTTCTTGAGTAAAAAGGGAAAAAATCATCTGATGACTTATGGTTCTGAAGACTAAATGGCAAAGATAATAAGCTTACACATAAACGTGATATATTTTCCTTGGTCTGATTTGGACTAAGGTGGTAATAAGTAAATGTATGGCTTCCTGTAGCACAGAAAATCAGATATTACTCCTTCTTCCTGCTCTTAGTTGATTTGCTGTTTAGTTCCTATTTTTTTTGTTACTTTCCCCCTTCTTTTTTATTTTGTGTATGAAAAGAAACAACAACCTTATTAAATATACCTGTCCCACCTCTGGGAACTCTGGGAGTGAATTCTAGAGATTCAGTTCACTTCAGTGGAGATTTTGGCAAGTGACTGTGAGGTACTTAACTATGGCTGCAACATATATATTTATTTATTTAAATTTATAACCCGCCCTCCCCGTGAACGGGCTCAGGGCGGCGTACAGATGGGGCCAATGCCCAATACATAAAACATTAAAACTGCATTTAAAAACATTCAATACAACTTAAGTGCTCGCCATAATATCTAACAAGGGAACAGATGACGTCATCAGGATAGTATCCTTAGTGGCCACAGCTCCAAGCAGTACCACCATTTTAGCGCTCACGGCGAGTTGGTAATAATGAGCTAGGACAGATAGTAATCAATGTTTCCTCTAAGCTGTGGAGTCTTGTGAGCAAAAATTCTACCTTGTGAGCTACTGGCATTAAAGTTGTGAGCGGGCAGTTTGGCTACTGCATAATTTAGTCTGCTCTGGAGCCATCCTTCTTGAGCTAAGACAAAAATGTGTGAGCCGGAGGCTAAAAAACTGTGAGCTAGCTCACACTGACTCAGCTTAGAGGGAACACTGGCTGCAATGCATTCAAGTTTTACGATCTACATTTTCTCCCCTAGGGATTGTTCTCTAAATTCCCACAGAAGTGAGAGCAGACTTTCAGCCCACCTAGAACCACCAGAGTTGTCAAGGATTTCCAGACAGGAGCTGGAGACCAGAAGGAGCCAGATCCACCACACAGCCTCAGGTGGCAGATCTGGGGTTCCCTTAGGCCAGCAGAGTGAGAAGCAGGCAGATTTCAGTCATGGGGTATGATTAGGAAGCTGGCTTATTAGAAGTCAGGGTCACCCTATGAAACTGGTTGGCAGTAGATTCAAGAGACAAAGAAGTGCTCAGTTTGCATGTACCAAAGCTTCACATGGGTGGTTGATCTGCACATTGGCCCTGTTCATACAACATGGTGACTGATCACGTGCATCAGGAGGCCTTCAGGTAGTGAAGAAGAAGAGACTGGATTTATACCCCGCCCTTCACTCGGAGTCTCAGAGCGGCTTACAAACTCTTTCCCACAACAGACACCCTGTGAGGTAGGTGGGGCTGAGAGAGCTCTTTCAAGAACTGCCTTTTCAAGGACAGCTCTTGTCAGAACTATGGCTTGCCCAAGGTCATCCAGCAGGTACAAGTGGAGGAATGGGGAATCAAACCCGGTTCTCCCAGATTAGAGTTGACGCACTTAACCACTACATACACCGCTCCCACTATGCCCAGTTAGGAAGCTCTTGGTAGTGAATAATTGTAACATCTGAAAAGGACTCTTGATGTAAAGCAGGGGTCCCTAACATTTTTGAGCTTGTGAGCACCTTCGGAATTCTGACACAGGGCAATGGCCCCACCTACAACACAGCTACCAAAAGAGGCAGAGCCAGGCACAAAATGTCAGGGAGTGAGGAGTAATAGTAACTTTTCAACATTTCAGGCAGAAGCTCTGTTTAACAGGATGCCTTTTAAAATCAACCTATCGTTTAAAGTGTGCCTTGCACACAAAAGCTCATACCTTACAAGTGTGCCTTGCACACAAAAGCTCTGCTGGTCTTAAAGGTGCCACTGGACTCTAATTCTGTACTACTGCTTCAGACCAGCACGGCTGCCCACCTGGGTTTAAAAATATTTTCTTGCATGCACCCTTCAGTCACACAGCAAAGATCCTTGTGCTGTTGTGGCAGCTGCTGCCAAAAGCAATTGTTTTTTGAATTTGCACAGCCAGAGAGATCAGCAATGGCCAATCAGAAGCCTGCTGAGCAAAGGCCCCACCCGGCCCCACCCACTTTCTCAGAACACTCGGCGGGCACCACGGTGGTGACCCCTCATATAAAGGGAGGGACTTCACAATTTATCCCACTGACCCAACCATCTTCTAAACAGGCTGGATGTGAGCTTCTTGCATTACAGAGAACTCTTCTTCAGGCACAGGTGTCCAAAGTACTACCTCCTCCACAGTAGCTTCCCTTGCTTCTTTTGCTACTGACTCCTCTTTAATTTCTAACTCTGGCCTGCTCACTCTCAACTCCAGCAGCCGTTCTAGCAAGAGGTGAAAGTTTCCAGCCGTCTCTGTCACACGACCCAAGGTGGGCAACTCCCGGCAGCCACGCTTACAGCTACACTTCCCACGTGACCAAAAAATCCAGGTTGCTTTGGTCCCTGCTAATTAGCGAATGGCAGCCGAGACAACTCAGCACCGAGGCCTTCTGTGGGGTGACCCTCCAGGGCTCTCTCTCTCCTGTGGGAAAACTCGTTTGGAACAGCATTTTCCCCAAAGGGCAAACAGACATCTCTTGCTCCTTCCCACATCTCATCTCTGCCTTGTTGTCTTCCTTCGTTTCAAGTGTTTAATTTTAAAGCTTAAAAAAAGAAGGCCAAACCAAACCCTGCCAACCCCCATAAAACCCCTCTGAGTATAAAGTGGAACACATTTTTGTTTAAAATACTCTGGGCCATTTTTATAGAACATCCTCTTGGAAAAAGAAAAAAAAATGCAGGATCATTTTTTTTTAAGTCCATCCCGCAGGCTCTATCATTTAATTATGAGTGGGACATAAATTATGCATTTACACATTGTTGCATTTTCTATAAAGTGGCATAGCGAAGGGTGCTTTTTTGTAGTTTTCCTGCTCTTTTTCTTCCTAGGGGCAATTTAGAAGGGAACAAAGAGCTGCGGGGTATGGCGTTGATGAAAAAAATTAGCATTTGTCAGCCTAACAACATTATGAGATCAGCATGGCGCTAACATACACAAAATATGAATGTATTCCCCCCCCCGCTTAGAGTGAAAGGGGAAAAAATAGCCCACCTCCCAAATACCGCCATCTCACTAGGCAGAAAATGTCTCCTTGCAGTTTAAGCACCAGACAGAGGTAATTGGGCAGAAGGGACTCATTTGCATACAACCCGAACATGAAATAAAAGCAAGTCATAAATGCCTGGGAATAATTAAAAAAGCACCCCATTACCTGCACGGAATTCAACCGACAGTATCCGTTCAAAGGAAACCTAATGACGTGGGTGGGGTCCTGGTTCCAGCCAGCGTTGACGGAATTGCACATCACGTCGCCCGTCTCCGGGAAGATCTCTTCGATGAGCGCTTTCTCCCCACTCAGTGCAATTCTCTCCCCAAGATCCGGCGTCACCCTTACAACCAAGCAGTCACACGGCTGGAAATGCTTCCTTTGTTCCTTCTCTTGCTTCCACCGCTCCAGTTCCTTGATCATCGGCTGCAGCTGGTAGTACTTGGCTTCTTCATATAAAAGATTAAAGTCCTTCCATTAAAAAAAAAGAAAGCGAGAAAGGAAAAATGGCTTAGAAATGCTTATGGGCCTCTGTCAAACATCTGTCATTCCAGGCTGACCTACATACTACACGAGGCAACAGGTATCTAAACACCAAAGAATCCAATGTGCTTCAATCCCCCCTCACTTTGCCAAGCCTTGCCAACTTTGTAATTTTGCTCTAGCAGACTGGGATGATGTGATGCCCTTGTGTTGCATGACCCTTTGTGTCTGTGTTATTACTCTCCTTTTTCTTTTGCCATCAAGTCACAGATGACTTACGGTGACCCTCCTGGGTCTTCAAGGCAAGAGACAGTTCAGAGATGGCTTGCCATTGACTGCCTCTGCATGGCGACCCTGATACCCTTGGTGGTCTCCCATCCAAATACCAACCAGGGCCAACCCTGCTTAGCTTCCGAGATCTGATGAGATAGGGCTATCCTGGGCTATCCAGATATAAGAACAAAATGGTGCGGTATAAGCAGAACTGGGTAATAAAAGATGTGTGGGAGTCGCCTGTCCTGGCAGGCATTAGAAATCAAGGTGACAAAGTACAGGTTGTTTGTAAAGAGGGAGTTACTGCAAGTGGTACTTGTCCTGCTGCAATAAGAGAAATGCCGTCTTTTGCACAACTATTAAAAAGACAGGAGCCTTATGCTGCATACCATCTTGCAACCTCACTGAGCACATGAAGCAGCTTTATGCCCATTCAGACTCTTAGTACATCAACGTCAGTACTATCTACTCTGACTGGCAGTGAATTTCCAGGATCTCAGGTCTTCCACATCACCTACTACCTGGTCCTTTTAACCAGACACACTGGGGATTGAACTGGCAACTAGGGGTGTGCAAAAAATAAATAAATAAAAAATTCGGCCCATTCGGATTCGGCCGAATCGGGCAGAATCAATTTTGGCTGGCAGTAAGACTCCCGCATGTCAGTTTCATCAGCACCAGCCGATTTGGGAGTCTTTCAGCCAGCCAAATGTCCATTTCAGTCCCATTATATCCTATGGGCCATTGAAGTCAATGGCGAAAACATAGGGTATATTCTGGGGGCTGGAGGGAAGGAGGCTTGAGGGAGGGACTCCAAACTCGCAGGGTAGCTGCTGGAGCCTCTCCCCAAGATACCAACCAAGTTTCAAGAACATTGGACCAGGGGGTCCAATTCTACCCGCCCTCAAACAGGTTGCCCCTATTCCCTCCATTGTTCTCTATGGTGGGAAAAAAGAAGTGTGACCTCACTCAGGATTGCCCTGAATTCCATCTTCTTGAGAGCTCTGCCCCTCAGTCTTTTCCTAGCTCTGAACCCTTCTGTTGACCTCCTTGGCTCTCTGGGGCAAAAATCAGATGGGATGCTGGGATATCTGTGAATTAATCTCCCCAGTGCTTTTTACCGTGAAATAGCAGGTGAGGTGGGGGAGACAATCTGGATAGAGGCCAGTGGGGCATAGGGAGTGCTGCTATTGATCTTTCCCCAGGCATTGCTTTACCGACTGCAAATGCCCCCTTCAAAGCTATTTACCTGTTGGGGGAAAATATACAGGTTGCTTTAATGGTGCATGCAAACCCCCCCCCCCCAACAAACAGCAATTCTGGGGGAAGACGGCACAAAGGTAAGGGGTGAGCATCCCTCCTTTCAGAGCCCTGATTTAATTTCTCCTCCTCCTTGGGAACCACTACACACCACTTACAAATGCTCAGGACATTTTTTTACGGACCTCCCAGCATCTCATCTAGCTAAGATCTGTACACCCTGGTTTGTTTTTGTTTCCCTGTGTCCCAGGACTCTTTCCGAGCCTCATCCTGCTCCTTTGTGAGGCGTTCATCCCAAAATTTTCCTTTCCCATGCAAGCTTACCTGCAAATGGTTCTGTTCCCCTCCCCCTCCCCCGATAAACTGAGCTCTGCTCACAGCCCTGCAGGTCAGCCTGTCAGCATCAGAAGCTTCGCTGCCACAGGCAGGAGACAAGACAAGACAGATTATCTCTGTTATCCCCACAGCAACCCTATAAATTAGACCCAATGTTATTACCTCCACACTGCAGATGGGAGACAGACAGAGGCTGGAGGAAGTGACTTGCCCTGGGCCACTGTGTATCTCCAGGCCAGGGATGAAATGTGAACAGGCAACTTCCTGGTTCACAGCCAAATCCCCAAGCCACAATTCTCCTTCACAAGGACAAGAAACCTCTCGGCCGTCCACGGAAACCCAATTCACAGGCCGCCTGCCGAAAAGGCGGCCCCGTGGAATTCCCCACCACGGGACAGCATTTAAGCCAAGAGTCCAGCAACGTTCCTAAAGCACTGCATAGTCAGCCCCACAACAAGAGCTACAAGGGATTCAACCACCTCTGCAGAAGAAAAGACGTCTCACTGCGAGTAGCACCAGAATGAAAGTCAACTGCAGCTCCACCAACTGAGGGTGTTGCTGGGACTTGGAAGAGACCTTCCTCTGTACCAGAGGATGGCCGGACAAGAAGGCCTCACAGAAGCTTTCCTTACATTTGCACGGTTACGTAATATCCTTCAAGTTATTTCTGGTGACTTCTGATGGTTTCTGCATTTCATATCATTGAATGAGATCCCTGAGGACTAGGGTGCTGCTAAGCTGCTCCCTCTTTTATGATGCTGCCCGATGGGAAGGGAGGAGTTTTTCATTTTAATCTTTTCCTGTACTCCTTTGGGATAAACCATCCGGTTGCCGGAGGATAATGCACTAGGCGTTTCTCGCCCATGCATTTGCTGTCACACTGCTCTTGCTGCCACCCAATAAACTGTAAATTCACCCACCCAGTTCAAAGGTCTGGATAAAAGGGATTGGTGGAGAAACAGGCGGCTGCACCCTCTCTCCCTGGAGTGCAAGGAGCCAGCATGGTGTAGTGGTTAACAGTGGTGGACTCTAATCTGGAGAACTGGGTTCGATTTCCCATTCTTCCACATGAAGCCAGCTGGGTGACCATGGACCAGTCACAGCTCTCAGAGCTCTCTCAGCCCCCAAATAAGTCTAGCTTGCCACCTAGTGGTGCCTAATGCAAAAAAGAGCTAGAACGTACGGCTGCCAGACAATCTTAGGATCTCCTGGCTATACTACACTGACTGCCATATGATAATTATTAACTATTATTTCCTTGGAGTGCAGCGTTTTCAGAAGAAGCCCTGTTTCCTGGGTCAAGACTACCCAATCCAGAGCTCCTCGTTTTATACACTGGGGAGTGGGGAAGGGGTAGATGAAGAGGGATTACTGATGGTCTGCACCAAGGGTTGCCAGCTATGGGTTGGGAAATACCTGGAGATTTTGATAGTGGAGCCTGGGAAGGGCAGGGTTTAGGGAGGGGAGGGACATCAGTGTAGTAGAATGCTATAGAGCCCACCCTCCAAAGCAGCCATTTTCTCCAGGGAAACTGATCTTGGTCATCTGGAGAACAAATTGTAATAGCTGGAGATATGCAGGTTGGTAACTCTCACAGTTTATTGACCCTAACAAAGCAAGCAATGAAGAAGGTCCAAAGCTACCGAGTCAGAACTATTTATCCGCATGGGTAGTGGCTCTCCAGGGTCTTTCCTAGCCCCGTGGCCGGAATTAAACCCAGGGCTTCAGAAAAAGAACCTGCACCAATCCCCCCCCCCAACCCATGCACACTTCTTCTCTTTTGGCCAGGAGCTGTTGTGTCACTGTCGACAACACGACACCCAAACTAAGGCATCAAAGGCAGACTCTGGAATCCGTTTCCCCGGCTCTGCTGCATCCACCTCTGCCAATCTGATACTGCTCATCTGATACGGGTGCGTTTGACACCCACTTTGCACGGATGAGTCAGGAAGGGAAGCGGCTGAGAATCCAGCCCAGGGAGTGCTGATGATGGTCATTTAAAGACACAGCAGGAGAAAGTCAAGTCTCTGCACTGTGGAAACAGTGAATGCAAAGAATCTGGGAGCCCCCGTGACAGTGATACCTTCTTAAAGCCAGTTCGCGTAGAAGTCTGTGTACTCCAGCCTGTGGCTGACTGCTAACCCTGCTCAGGCACTGGGCTTCAACCAGGAACCCAGAGGACCAGTTCCTGTTCCCTGTGCATATTGTTACAGGAGCGCAGAATCCTCCTGGCTGGATGACTTACAACGCTCACAGGTGTGCTGCTCACCCCTCACTTTGAGCCGAGATGCTGATCCGGGAGACTGTGTTCCTCCTCTGTCCTGAAGACAGGCAGCCTGCCCGCCTGAAGGTACCTTGGCTCGGCATCCTTGAATCAGCTGCTCACTCCCTCAGGCACTGCCTAACCCCTTCAGGGACGAGGAAAAAAGGGGGAACGGGAGTTGATGGGGCTTCCCTCCAGTGTGACTTCCTTTGTGCTCCTCTCTACCATCCAAAGAAATCAGGCACTGCAGGGGAGTCGGTGAGTGGCACCAGAGTTCCTAAGAGAGCTAGAAAGGGGCTTCCCGGCCAGCTATGATGTGTCTCTCAGCCAACAGCTGCTAAAGTTACTCCATGTGGGCATGTATTCACAGACTCTGGTGCTCCTGGACAAGCCTTTCCCACAAGCTGACTGGTTAGCAATGGCAGATGCTAGCATTTGTGTGGAGAACAGAATTCCTATGGCTTCACAAAGGAACTTAAGTCAGTTTGGTGTAAGGATCCGCAAATCCAGCAGATGTAATAATTCTGAGAATTCTGAACTCGGGCTAAAAGGCACATTGCAGAAGTGAGGGATGGTGGTTATTCAGGATGGCACAATCCAGGACAGAAGGGTGTGGCCAGGCAGATTTATCTGCACATGAAGCTGCCTTATATTGAGCCCCACCACGGTCCATCAAATTTAGTATTGCCTGCTTTGACTAGCAGCAGAGTCTCAGACCAGTGTTTCCCCCCTCATCTACCCTCTCATCCTTTTAACTGGTGATGCTGGAGACTGAATGTGTGACCTTCTGCATGCAAAGCGGGTGCTCCGGCAGTGAGCCAGTCTCCCCAAGAATCAACCATAAACACAAGATTCCAGTCTTCTTTTTTTGCCGTCAAGTCACAGCTGACTTACGGCAAACCCACAGGGTTTTCAAGGCAAGAGACGTTCAGAGGTGGTTTGCCATTGCCTGCCTCTGTGTTACGCCCCTGGTATTCCTGGGAGGTCTCCCACCCAAATACTAGCCAGGGCTGACCCTGCTTAGCTTCTGAGATCTGACGAGATTGGGCTAGTTTGAGCTATCCAGGTCAGGGCTGTCCCCTCTTGGATCACATGAAACTTCCTGATATGTCACCAGTTAAAAAGGATCAGGTGATAGAGGGGACTGAGCCTGGGGCCTTCTGCATGCAAAGCAGATGCTCTACCACTGTGCCCTATATGAAGCTTCCTTATACCAGGTCAGACCTAGCACTGCAAATCTTGACTCACAGTGGTTCTTCAGGCTCTCGGGTGGATGTCTTTCCCAACATCTTCTAGCCAACACATTTAACTGGAGATTAAATCTGGGACCTTCTGCATGCAAAACAGGTGCTCTGCTACTGAGCTGTGACTCCTCCCCAAATCTAGATCTAGCCAGCCAGCCAGCCTTTCAGTCCAAACACAGCTCCCCAAACAGCCTGCAGTTATCAAAAGACAATATGGATGACAATTAAAATTCAACAGAAAGGATTTCTATGGAAGTGGATTGTTCGTTGGCTGCTACTTGCCTCCCCTCTGGTGGACTCTGCAATGGTAACTGGAAACTGGGGGGAAGGGGTCATCAGCTGCAGCTGGATCCAGGTGCAATGAAGGGGTGTGTTGGAGGGACTGTAGCTCAGTGGTAGAGCCTCTGCTTTGGATGCAGAAGGTCCCAGGTTCAATCCCCAGCAGCTCCAGTTAAAAGGACCAGGTAGTAGGGTGATGTGAAAGACCTCAGCATGAGACCCTGGAGAGCTTCTTCCCGTCTGAGTAGACAATACTGAACTTGACATACCGGTAGTCTTATTCAGTATAAGGGAGCTTCATGCGTCCAGTGCATGAATTTGATTTGATTGGTACCTGGCTACTTCCTGCGTTCCCACTACTGGTCTCCTAATTGCCTTAAGTAATTTTTAGATTCCTGCTACCACCACTGTATAGCATGGGGGCATGGGAGTTGGGCTCCTAGTGCTACAAGGTGCTGGTAGGATTGGGGTGCAGGCCTCTGATTCAGTGAGGGCCCAGTTATGATGCAAACTGGCTGCCTCAGATGGTGATAGGGTTGCCAGGACATGCTTTGGCAACTAGTGAGAGCTGGGTACATGGCATGTTCTTTGACATCACTTCAGGGGAAAAACTGGAAATGAAGGTGGGTAGCTCTAGGAACCAACAGAAACACTATGATTTCCCACAGAGTTTCTGGTGATTCCTAGACTATCAGCAGTCACTTTTGGGGTTTTCTCTATAAGTGATGTCATGGCCCATGGGCCATTTTTTTCTTCTCCTCCGCTGTTGCTTGGAGGGGTGGCTGGCAATGTGGGTTATTGGTGGGAGGCCTCTCGCTACCGCTGCCACCATGTACAGGATTAGCCCACCCAAGCCAGTTCAGGAATGGGAGGGAATCCTGTACTTTTCAGTACATTAAACAACAAACCACGAGATGGTCTACATCCTCTCTGGTTTTCAGAAACACATGTCACCAGAACCTCTTTTCAGTAGTCCCTGCCTTTCCTAAGGGAGAGCATCTGGGACAAAACACTTTAGCAACTCAATATAGAGATGAGCACTCTTACCAAGGTAGCATGTGTGGGGAGCATTAGGCTACCAGATTTAGACTTAGAGTTCAGGTACAACATCAGAAACCATTTAACAATCAGTAGAATCTTTATTCAGTACAGAGATTAGCATAGACTACCAGAGATGACAAAATAATAAAGGCTAGGGCAATTTGCCTTAACTGCACATTAAAGATACATAGTTACCAAAGTCAGGATAGCATCCAAGAGCTCAAGATTGTCCATGGTGATAATCCAGGTAGCACCAAGGGATTTTAAGGAGAAATCCCATCCTTGCACCCAAGTGCTCCAGTTCACAAAGCAATCCTTTGTCTCTCACGAGGCAGCATTTCCAGGTGCAATAAAACATAACTGACAAAGAAGGAAGGGAGGGCTAAGCAAGTGAGCTAAGAGAGACTCACTCCCAGTGATCAATGGAATTATAGCCCAATCTAATCATGATTAGTCGTGGCCATCAGCCAATCACAAGTGGACAGGGGTTGTGCCCAATTGTTGGTTGTCATTGCTGCGTGTGGGGATAGGCTAGAAGTTTGGAGACCACGCCTGCAGTCACATGACCCAAACTCCAGCTTCTCCATTGCCAGCGTGACTTGTTGCATGTGGGCTAGAGCCAGGAGCCATCAGGTCTGGCTCTTCCACTTAGAGGTGTGAAAGAATGTGTGGCTATATGGCATGGCTATTGAGGTAGATCAGGCCATTTGGTCTGCCCTGGACCATTTGGCCTGCAACAGGAAACAGAGACAGCATGGTATCAAAAGACATCACAGGAGAAGGCATGTGGATATAGAAGCAGAAAGCAATTTTTCTATACACCTGGTCAAAAGAGTTCTCTCAGCCCCACGTAGCTCACAGGCAATGCTCCCTCTAAGCTGTGGAGTCTTGTGAGCAAAAATTCTACTTTGTGAGCTACTGGCATTAAAGTTGTGAGTGATTTGGCTACTGCCTAAATTAGTTTGTTCTGGAGTCATCCCTCCTGAGCTAAAACAAAAATGAGTGAGCTGGAGGCTAAAAAACTGTGAACTAGTTCATACTAATTCAGCTTAGAGGGAACACTGCTCACAGGGTGTCGGTTGTGGGGAGGGGAAGGGAAAGGAGACTGTAAGCTGCTCTGAGACTCCTTCAGGTAGTGAAGGGCTGGATATAAATCCAATCTCTTCTCTTCCTCTTTTTCTCTGCTTTTGGTCTTGAGGTTCAAACACCAGAAGCCAGCCCCAGGGAAACAAACAAAGTTCAGCATGGTAGTGTTCTTAGGGACCTCATGTTAATGTCAGTGGACCTTATGAAGGAGAGCTTCTCAGTGGACTGTACCCCATGTCAATTCTTCTTTAGAGGTAAGGTGTTTCGTCTCTTTCTAGCATTTTTCTTGTCTCTCTCTTCCTCCAAGGGACTTGGGGCAGTGTACATGGCTCTCCCTTCAACCTTTTTATCCTCATAACCATCCTGGGTGTTAGGTTAGCCTTTGACAGATTGACTGGCCCTAAATCACACAGGGAGCTTTTCATCTGAGTGGAGACTTGAACCAACTGTATTACTGTAAGGTCTGTTGACCATGTAATATTTTGCTGTTGTGGGTTTGGAACCAGGGTCTTCCAAGCCCTATTCCCACATACTCACAATATACAGCCTCCTCTGACACCTTCTGTGAGCATAGACTTATCTGCATCCATTGTGCGCAAACATGGCTGTGCAATCTGTTCACCCCAGTTTTTGTAATGGACAGCTTGCGTAGGGACAGGGGGCACTCTGTGCACTCACCAGGGGCACTCTGCGCACATGTGTTAGGGATGTACATCGATCGCAATGTTCACCCGTACAATTTGCCTTTGCTATGTAGGACACGCTTTCACCCGCTTGACTCCCCAAAATATAGCACCAAGCAACAAGAAAGACTCCCAGCCGGTAATTACAGCCGTATTTAGAATTCACAAGCACATGGAAACTGTATTAACTATTAGGAGAAGGAGCTCTCGAGAGGGGGACCTGTCAAAGGCAGAACACTTTCAAGTCTCCTCTTATTAGCAACTGGAACGGTAGTTAATATTCACCGTAAACACACCAGTCAGATGCGATAATAAAGACTCGCTAGCTAGCAACACATGCGCAGCTGTCTCTGGGGCTCACTGAAAACGAAACTGCAGCCCAAAGAAAAAATTCTCAAAGTATTTATTCTGAAACCGTCCCACTGAAGACAGGTGTATGAGGAATAAATTCACTGTGGGCTTGTGGGATATTTTTCCTTTAGCACAGAAGCCTAAATGTCATCACCCATCTTGGATTCCTCACCTCTCCCCTGCTGCTCTTGATGTGCAGATTCTCAAAACGATGTGGTGCATGAATGGGAAACCTCACCTTTATCACTATATGCCCTTGGCACTGCCTGTGGAGATCCGGTTGCAAGCTGATGCCACTATGTGCCGGACTGTGGCCCTGAAACACGATCACTAGCCTATTTTAGGACCTGGCCCAGTTTTGGGAAGGGGCCACCAGTCCACCACAGAAATGTGGCGGTCCACCAACACAGGTGGCGATTTCAAATGGATTTCCTGCACTCTATTACTTGTGTCCTAGAGTCTACTTCCTCTGCTTACCTGGACTTTGATCCTCTGTCCATACCGCTGCATGTATAAAAGTCTGACATGAGGGTCCCAATGCAGGGCCTTATATAGGATGCCCCCTTCACAGAATCCTCTCCTCTTCAAAATAAAGGGTATGGGGGAAGTATCCTTTGTGAGGTGACACGCGGTATGCACGGCCTTCTGGGTGCAACTCTCATGTCAGACATCAGCTTATGTGTGTTGCGTACCTCCACTCATTAAGAAGATCCACAGCTGAGATGAGCATATGGCCTGGTGCGACTGACCTCACCTCCTTTAAATCTCACTGCTGCCGCCACGTCCCACAGCATCATTCACTCAGTAGCTATTTCACTCTGCTCCTCCTGGCCAGAGTGCTTCCTCATCAAGCCCTGCCTTCCCCCTTTGTCACTGCTGTTCAGCTCCTCCTAGAAGCTCTCTGGGCAAGGACTCCCCTGGCACAAGTCAATGCAAAAGGGCACACTGGATACTGTCTGGTTTCAACGGAACAGTCCTGTTTCAACAAAGCCACTGGGCTGACCCTCAACTCTAACAAGCGCCTTCATGAAATCAAGGCTCGCCCCTCCCCGCCTGATACACTTCAAGAGCAATGCATTTGAAGCTCTTTATCTCTCTGCCAATTGCAGGAGAGAATGGGAAAGGACTCACCTAGCTCCAAAACGGCAACACATAATGCAACTTTCAGCACTGTGTCAGGCTTCTTTAAAAATACCTTCTCCTCTTGTGTTATATTTAGAAATGCCAAATCATTTATCCTCCAGCCCTCAAGTGTTGTCTGATAATGAAATTAATCATGCTGCTAGCTTTAAAAGATTGCATGAAGTCATATTTATCCAAAAATGCTGTGTGGAAAGGGCCACAATTCACTGCTCCAGGACAAATTCCGCTGAAATAAACAAGGATGTTCTTGCTTCAGCAACCTTCACTCATTTGAAAGAGGCATGAACATCTCAAAGGATGATGTCTCTTAGCCATGCAATGGACTGGATCTAGCATTGTTATGGGGAGTGAAATTTCTTTTTGCAAAATTAACTTAAAAATATATAGCTGTTCATTCCTCTTATTCTCTTTCAAAAGTAGAATATCTCTTTGCTGCTTTGTTACACTTCTATGCACCATTTTGTAAATTCAGGCCTTGCAGGGTTGGGTTTTTTAATGTTAAATACCACAGGATGCTCTAGCAGGAGGGTAGGAAGGTTTGGGAAGTCACTGCCTGCCTCTGAGCACAACATGGTGACCCCCCCCCCCCCCCCTCTTATTCTCTTTTGAGTTAAAACACAATCAATCTGAAACAGATACCAAATTCCTTAAAAGAGGAAGTGATATGGATTGTTGGATTTCAGGGAGAAACTGAGCAAAGAAAATTAAGAGAATTTCTCTCAGCAATGCTAACTGGATCCAACCAACTCCTGCAAGTGAAAAGAAAAAGAACCCCCCTACTTCTCATTCGACCTCTCAAAAATACTATACTGGGGAACATGAAACCTGCATGGGCAAAAGCCATGACAGCTGCAGAAAGGAGGGGAACTGAGTGAGATTGAGTGAATAAAGATGGCTGGATCCAGCCCAATGTACTTACTTTGAGAAGCATTTTAGTGTCACCCTCTACAACCAGCACACAGTTTCTGAGATCTCCTGAAACCTGAATCTCAGATATGTGTGCAAAACCAGCCAGGCTTAAGGTTTGATAAGTTTGGAAACGGGGCTTGAGTGCAGCCTTGGCATGCTACAGTTCCTGATTTGCACGGAGATCTTTTGCCATTTCCTAGGTCTCAGTGGGGTTTCTCAATCGCCGCATATAAAAGAATACACTTTGAAATAAACGAATGGATAAAATGATTACAGGTTCCTGACCTGTCTTACCTTAAAGTCTTCTGGGAGCAGCAGTTTCGACGTTCGTAAGAAGCTTAATATGTATCTGAAAATTTCACCGTCCCGATCAATGAAATAGTGCTGTTTTAAACTGTCCAAGACAATAGGTTCTGTGCCATTAAACAGACGGCTTATTCTGGAAGGGAGGAGGGGGAAAAAAGAAAAGGGTAGGCAGAAGGCACACAGTGGAGCTTACAATTGTCACTGAATTAAACTCAAGTTCGTAAGAAAGAACTTTTGGAGAATTTTGCAAAGTTCTAAGGGACGATTCTGCAGAATTTCCTCCAGCATGCATTGCCCAGTACAATCCCCACCCCCCATCAGATGGTGCTCTACAAAGATTAAAGGACTGCAGTGCTCCAGGAGAGAAGCAGACGCCCAACTCAAACAGCAGCCTGAGACAGCAATCCAGGTGGCTGGAGAAATTAAGCTATCACGGATGCGCATGGCTGACCGTGGCCAGTGTGGGACCAATAAAATTCCACAGTACACCGATTGCGGGTGTGTCCTTGGAGAAATGTACCTGCCCTTTCCTGGAGAACTTCTCAAAGTTTTTACAGTCATGTTAGGACATGATTGAAATACACATTTGGGTGAGGAATACATTTTGACATAAAGCTACATCTTTGACCTTCTCCTAGGGACATATATACCATAGGGAGGGGGAGAACAGAACCACACGTGCCGTTAACTAGTAGGTCCATGAGGATTCCCTTTTGCACACGTCTGCCTCAAAACTATCTGATCCTCTCCTGACAGCCGTTCGGTTACCAAATGTGACTCAGATTTCAAACATCTCTCAAGACTTCTCTGTCTCTCCCTGCCAAAGGAGTCCCTCCAGCCTCTTCGTCTTTTCCTCCTAATTTGGTTTTCATCTCCCAGGAAGCAACGAGGTCCCACCAGAACCGCTGCAGTTTGGGGTGCGATTTTGTATTCGGGTAGGTTTGGGGACAGGCTGGGCGCCTCCTTCCTGCATGGCCCAGATTGAGAAGCCTCTTTTTGATGTCGCGCATTGTTCTCCCACTTCATGCATAATTTTCTTTCCAGTTATCGCTCCTGAATCTGGAGTTTCCAGTTTCTTCTTAATTTAGTAATCATCTTCAGATTTCATTAGTGTGCCATCTACTCTCTTTTGGATTAATTACAGAGATATTTAATATCGCTGGAGCTCACATAATTCCCCGCCGAATGCCAGGGGAATATTCAGCGCCCTCGCTGGGATTTACAGTTTGCGGCTGGTCACTCCCTCCCTTGTTTACGACCTGCCAACCAACGTTCTAGGTAGGCAACATACATTAAATTATCTGGGATAGAGGAAACAAAGAAAGTGTCTGGTACGCATTACAAAGCCCCAGTGTTTTCTGCTTCATCCTGCCCCACCCAAACACAAATCATGGATTTAAAAAAAGAAAAGAAAAGAAAAAAGCAATTTGCTTGGAAATATGTTTTTACAGGACTTGGTCTGCATCTCCTTCTCCCGCCACCCTGAAACTCAAGATTCGCCCTAGGAATCACTGGAAACTTTGCACAACAACACATTTCTTACAGCTAACATACATGCATAAAGCATGGGTGACATGCTGCATCTCTGAACATGCCTACTCTTTCTCCTGCGGGAAACATTGATACACGCACAACAACTGCGACTGCCGTGCAGACTGTGAACCCATTCCCACTTGAGAGGAAGCCCAGATTCCTCAAGGGATCTGGCAATCTTGTCGGTCTCTTCCACCCACTGCCACCCCAAGCAACTGACCGAAGAACTACAGGCTTAGATAAAGGGTGTGCCCTAAGGGATCTGGGGTAGAAAAGGTGGAACGGCAGAGCTCAATCTCGTCCATCTCTGAAGCTAGGCAGGGTCAATACTTAGTGTTCCCTCTAAGCTGAGTTAGTGTGAGCTAGCTCACAGTTCTTTAGCCTCTGGCTCACACAATTTTGTCCTAGCTCAGGAAGGATGGTTCCAGAGCAAACTAATTTATGCAATAGCCAAGCCGCTCACTCACAACTTTAATGCCAGCAGCTCACAAAGTAGGATTTTTGCTCACAAGACTCCACAGCTTAGAGGGAGCACTAGAGACCACCAAGGAAGGCTCTGCAGAGAAAGGCAATGACAAACCTCCTCTGTCTATTGCTTACCTTGAAGGCTCCTTATTGGAGTCAAGAACTCAAAAAGGTAAGTCAAAACTGAAAGAGAGCCAACAATTAACACTTAATGTATAAATAATATGTAAAAATTTGTTTATTTGTAAAGGATTAAAAAAAACATACAGGGGCCCAATCACACCTCATATAAAAATTCCAAAATCATATATACACACAGGCCAATGGACTTGACCTGACGCCTTTCGGCCTGTTAGGGCCTTCTTCAGAGGTCAAACACAACGAGGAACAAATTGGCCAATAGCCAATTTGTTGCAACTTGATGGCGCTTCCATACATACATAAGAAACCTGGAGCAGATCTACGGCTTTAATGTCTTTAGCCAATATTTGGCCATGCTGCTTACGTGGTAGCGGTTCTCCAACCCAGTCTGAAGCACAGTCTAACGGCAGACAGGATGCTGCTCAGTTGCACTTTGAGAGCTTAATCAGTGGACCATCTGCATAAGAGGGAATGCGGTTTGGTCCTTCTCTGCACACCCCCCCCCCAATCTCCTCTTCCTTCTTTTCATTTGCTTGAGGCAAATTTCAGCCCCTGTGACCAGCCCAATGAGGAATACAAGCCCATTGCATCCAGAATCACTGCATGCCACAGTCCCTCATGGATCGCGCCATTTCAGAATGCAGCTAGAGGACTACAGGTTTAAACATTTCCTCATTTTTTAAAAAAACCCAAACCTTCACCACACTCAGAAACCAACACAGGAAAAAAGACTCAGTGACAACCTCACTGATGTTCTGGCTTTGTACAAGTGGGTTTTTTTCACACGGAGAAACATTCACGTTTTACAGATATCCCTTTAGGCTGCCGAATGTTGTTTAGTTCTGTTTTTTATACCCATGGCTTGTTTGTTTATGGCTTGTTTTAACATAGATAATTCCTATATTGGGTTTTCCCCCCTGATTTTATTGTATTGTTTATGAACTGCCTTGAGTGGTTCTCTGGAGAGGCGGCGGATACTTTTGTGGATTAATAAATAAATTCTAACAGGCTCTTTCCTCTCTGCAGTCAGAAGTGGCAGACAGGGTATCCTATATGACATTTCTGAACATACTGACATAGATCCGACCACACAGTTCTGAACACTTAAGGGCCCTCAAGTCTTTGGAAGAGAACTTCCCCTCTCTCACCTACTTTGCCCCTCATTCTGTTCCTGTGGGTCTACTAACCCCAAGGAACAACATTTCAAGGCTGTGACAGGAGGGGAGTGGGAAAGTCCTGCTTGGTAAAATCCAAGGGTTGTTGGATTCACAACGATGAAGGAGGTGGAAAATCTCTTTGGTGCAACGGCCTCAGGTTGTTGAAGGGTTAACTCCTTCTCAACATTATGTGCATGACTGAAGCTGGAATTCAACCGCATCTTTGCTCTCCTCTTGGTCAGAACTGGAATCAATTAGTGGGGGATACACTGATAAGGCCTGTGCTCAATCTTGTACTGAATTAATCTAGCAATGCTGCAGCTTTGAGAACATCCACAGCGGTGATGGGAGCAGATTAGATGTTTGCTGGAACTCCCAGAAAGTCGCAGCCTCTAATGCTGAATGTGGGCAAAGTCTTTTAAACCTGTCCATTCCTGCAAACTTTCCCCATCGCTCTGCAGATGTTTCTCTGCTTCATATCCTTTCATATTAAAACCAATCCAGGGACTGTCTTTGGCTCCCTCAGTATAACCACTCAAAGGCCAGCAGCTCCAGGTTTCCCAGTTAGGCCAAGCGTGGTAAACTGTAAATGGGGCCAGTGTGGGATTTTGGCCTGGAGAGGGTTGTCACCCTGAATTAGGAGTCCCATTCCCTTGGTAAGGGAAGGCGATCCCTTGCCCTCTGGTCCTGCAGCACTGTGTGAGGCTATGTCACCTCTAGTTAAAAAAAAAACACCCTCAGAAATGACACAGGTAGCTCTAGGAATCACTGGAAACTCTAGGGTAAAACCATGGAGTTTCCAGCAATTCCTAGAGCTACCCCTTAGAGCTACTGGTTTGCCAGCCTTCCCATATCCTTGCCCATAACCCTCCTGCCAGCTACCAATGCACTGCCTGGTAATGCTACCATCAGCTTTTTGGCTGGCCAAAAAAGAAAGAGGGAGTCACCTTTGATGACCTCAAAAGATCATAGGACCAGCATGGGCAAAAGGTATGTGAGACAGGGGCTCTTGTAAGGAGGGTGAATTGGGCTTGGGAGGAGGATCTTAACCAGTGGGCAGTAGATAAAGAGATGTTACTCCAAATTCCCTGGCCACAAGACATTTAGGGACTTAAATGAAAGAAAACAAGCACTCTGAACTGTGTCTGGAAACAGATGTGCAGCTGGCATAGACTTTTCAGGTGGTGACAGCCTCTAACTTGGGCCTGGCAGTTTCACACTGGGCAACAGTAATGCCACAATCCACTAAAAACGGTACCCTGACACATCTGTAATGTATGCAGACACAATCCTGTCAGGGCTGTATTAACCCATGGTCGGGCCCCTAGGCTTTCAGGTATTTCGGGGGCCCTCTGGCACTGCAATCTTTCACCCCACTACAGCTGACAGCCTGACCCTGGTACGGTAGGTACTAGACCGCAGTACATAGCCCTATATCCATTTTGAGGGTCTCCTGAAGAATTCCATTCACAATTTTTAATATATTTTTATTGCGTGTGTAGAACTCTTCAGAAAAGCACATTTTGGGGGTATAATTGTTCCATACTGTAATATTTTGAATAAAATTTTTATTATTTATTAAAATATATAATTTATGGATAATTGTTTTAATATAAGAGATAATTTGTTTCACTGCAATAAGGAAGCAGTTAACTATCTTATTAATAGAGGTTACATATTACAGGCTGTCTATGAAGAGAAAATAACAGTGCCTCAGCAAAAAAAAAATTGATGGGCCCCTAGTCCCCGCAGGGCCCCTAGGCTTCCGCCTAGTCAGCCTTATGGATAATACAGCCCTGAGTCCTGTGGTTTTGAAAAGAATAATAATAGATTGGAT